ATTGCATTAAATCTGTAGATTTCTTTCTGCAAGATAGCCATTTTTACTATATTAATCCTTCCAATCCATGAGCATGGGAGATCTTTCCATCTTCTGAGATCTGTTTTGATTTCTTTCTTCAGGGGCTTGAAGTTCTTGTCATACAGGTCTTTTACTTGCTTGGTTAGATTCATACCAAGGTATTTTATATTATCTGTGACTATTGTGAAGGGTGTCATTTCCATAATTTCTTTCTCAGCCAGTTTATCTTTTGAGTAGAGGAAGGCTACTGATTTGAGTTAATTTTATATCCAGCCACTTTGCTAAAGTTGTTTATCAGGTTTAGGAGTTCTCTGGTGGAAGTTTTGGGGTCACTTAAGTATACTATCATATCACCTGCAAATAGTGAGATTTTGACTTCTTCCTTTCCAATTTGTATCCCTTTGACCTCCTTGTGTTACCTAATTGCTCTGGCTAGGACTTCCAGTACTATACATAATAACTGTTTATTTTTAACTCTCTCATAACTTGGTTTTGCCTAGGGATGTTTTAGTCATTTGGTTATTTGAAATTAGGAAAGAGGCTTGTACTGAAAGTATCTGCCTTTATTATTTAATCACTTATGAACCTGTACCAGGAAGACATCATGAACATGTTAGGAGTCAGCTTCCTGTTCTCATGAATGTCAGTCTGCAACCATGGTTTAATTTTGTGTGTTCTTTTGTGGCTCTTAAGTTTTGAAGGGCAAATGCAGTGTTTAATTTTATAAAGTAAATGTCAGTTTTGAAGGAAGACTGCCCCATGAGCATCATAGGAGGCAATATCAGGTATAATCCTTCCAGATGGTGCCCTACAGGTGAAGCAGCAGCCTGTGAAATTGTACTCTGAATTGCACTGCAGATGAGTGGGGCGTTAGGAGCCAAGCTTTCTGCTATCAGTAATAAACGATTTGGTTCAGAACCAAGGACAGTTCCCAGGAAGTTAAAGGCTGTTTAGTCACCTGGGAAGCCTTCAGTGGAATGAAGTTCAGCAAACTGGAAAGTTAAGAGGAAGGACGATTGCTATCAACAGTTCATACACCATCTTTACCCACTCACTTTTAACGAGCTGTGTTCATTTTCTTGGTGCCATCTATGTATTAGTTCTACATATAATCTGCATGTCACATAATCCTCCACACCAATGTTTTAGAGCTTACCAAGATACCACTCTGAAGTATTCTGATTCACATACTTTAAAGTCTGATCCCATTTGACATGTTTTCTGGGAAGTTTTTTATTTCAGAATACCTGCATCCTGTAGTACCCATGTCATCTCAATATAAATACGTAATCATCTAGATTCAGAGCTTGGATTTTGTCATCAGACCAGGTTCACATTCTGCTTCAGTTCATTCACCGTCGGTGTGACCAGGATGTGCGTGTGTGTGTGCGTGTGCGTGTGCATGTGTGTGTGTGTGTGTCTTGAGCTATTACCATTTCTAAGCCTTGGTTTCTTCTTTAGGTGATTGCAGTGACAAGTATATTCTGGGAGATAGTTAAGTGAGCATTATAAAGCACAGGCAACACAATTACTAGCAGTTTTGGTTTTAAAACAGAAACTGTCACTTTAGATAACTTTATTTTATTTTTTACCAGAACATTTTAAAAGCAAACTTCCTTTATTTTATCAGTGTGGATACACATGAGTACATGCTGTTGCTCATTCAGAACTTGTAGCTTTAGACAGTGTGGACCATGTGCTTACACTTCTTGGAGCTAACACTGCAGGGCCATTTATGATTGGCTGAGAAGAAATAGTCAAGAAAGTATATGCAGATAAAGGACAAACAAGAGAGTATACATAGTGGCATCAGAAAAATCTATTTTAATGGATTAACAATTTAGAAATTACATGAGTACCAGAAAAAACAGTAACCAGTGAAATTGTCAAGCTCTGAGTCTTCAGTAGTATGACAAAGCTTCCAGCTGTGACATGTACATCTGTTTAAGAGAATGTTTTCTCATTGACTGGCTGGCTCCCCAATTTTTTTTGTTTGTGTTTTTGTGTTTGTGCGTGCGTGCGTGCGTGCGTGCGTGCGTGCGTGCGTGTGTGTGGTTGTAGTGGTGATGTCTCCTTATATAGTCCTGACTGTTCTGGAGCTCACTATGTCTACCAGGGTGACCTCAAACTCAGAGATTCTCGTGAGTGCTAGGATTAAAGGTACATGCCATCACACCCAGCCAACTCCCTTGTTCTTTTATTTAGGCTGTATCAATGACGTTGACATCATAGAAGCTCATATGGGGGCAGACTCTTGCATTAGAATGGAAACCTGATTAGAGAGAGTCTTGGAGACAGGAAGAGGAGGTGGAGATGGAAGCACTGACTTGTGGTTGTCTGCCTCCGTCCCTGTAGCACTGCCTCTGTGATAGATATGTTGGTCTCCATGGATACCAGGTACTATCTATGCCTAGGCTTGCATATGAACCACGGGCTTCTTTGTTTTTGATAGTCTCTGACCATGGACAACTAAGTGGAAACCCAGCAGCAGAAATCTGCATCTGTGGAGGGTATTTGTGCATGAGCAGTTGCACCCTTTGGTTACTCTAGAGGAGATCCCCAGGGTTGGAAGTGGAACGGATTCTGATAGTTTGAGCTAATTGTTTTCATTGTGCTTAAAATTGTATTTCTTAGTTATAAATTATAAAGACATTTTGAGAGATTTTATATTTCTGTGTAGCTTGATTGAATAATTCAAGAAAAATATATTCTGAGGGTATTAGCTCATTTGTCAACTTGACAGTAGTTAGGGTCCTTTTAAAAGAAAACACCTAAATTGAGAAAACAACCCCACAAGATTGGCCTGTGGCCAAATTTGTGAGGAATTTTCTTTTTTTTTATTTTTTAAGATTTATTTTTATTTTATGTACATTGGTGTTTTGACTGCATGTATATCTGTGTGAGGGTGTCAGATCCCCTGGAACTGGAGTTACAGACAGGTATGAGCTGCCATGTGGGTGTTGGGAATTGAATCCAGATCCTCTGGAAGAGCCATCTCTTCAGCCTCAAAGAGGCTTTTTTTAATTGATGATTGATTTGGGAGAGCCTAGCCCATTGTGAACAGTTGTACCCATAGGCAGGTAGACTGGAGTTGTGTAAGATAGCAGGCTTTGTGTATGGGTGCTTTGTCTGCACATATGTCTGTGCACCACATGTGTTACTGGTGCCAGAAGAGGGCATTGGATTCCCTGAAACTGGAGTTACCAATGGTGATGAGCCATCCTGTCAGGGCCGAGAATTGAGTTCATTCCTCTGGAATAGTAGCCAGTGCTCTTAGCCGTTGAGCCGTCTCTACAGGACTTTAATTCTTTTTCTTCCTTCCTTTCTTTATTTTATTTTATTTTATTTTGAATTTTTGTTTTTCAAGACATGGGTTCTCTGTGTAGCCCTGGCTGTCCTGGAACTCTATCTGTAGACCAGGTTGACCTTGAATTTAGAGATCTACCTTCCTCTGCTTTCCAAGTGCTGGGATTAAAGGTGTGTACCACCCATGCCGAACTTTAGGCAATTTTTCTATATCTTGGGTGAACAGATGTCTCTCTTTTAAGAATTCCTTGGCATAAATAATGATTCACTTTCACCAATGCAAAAATGTCCATTATAATCATTCTTGTGCATAGATCTTTATGAATGTGTAAGTATTCATTGGTGGAATTTCATACATCTCATGAACATATATAATATGTATGTTCCCTGAACATACACAGCATATTAACAGGTGCTAGTGTTTAGAATTTAGCATATGACTGATATACTTGTTCAGAAGTTTCCATCTGAGCCTTTGTTTCTGTGGTGTAAGCACCCCTGCAATGCAGCATGGCTGCCTGGACATTTTCTTATCCATAAGTTAGTTTGTGCAGAGGAAGTTGACCTGTTTCTTGGTTACCCACCTGTGGGGATGGTTTTGGGTCTGCTGCCTTCTTTGTTCTGTTTGTTTATGTGGTTAAAGAATAGAGTGTTTATCCCACCAGAAAATAATGTGTGCGTAGAACAAGGGAGCAGATGAGAAACAGCTTCCATTAGAGGGCTGATGTGAGGTGCAGCTGTCCATCTCCCTGATGCTGAGAGATGTGGTTGGCCCTGGAGGAGGAAGAGTAGCTGCAGCATGTGGCTGTCTGACAGTACGTAGTATGTGCTGTACCAATAGAATATGGCATGTTAGGACCCCAAGAGTGTCTACTTTCCCTGTGTACTCCATTTCCCTTTCCTGGGAAAAGCTCACTAGTGTTTCTTAAAATCTGGTTGTACTGGGATCCTGTTCCTTGAGCTGAATTTCATATAACACTGTTTCTTGAAGATGCTGGTGTGTGGCAAGTAGAAGACAAACTGCAGTGGGGATGTTATAACACTTACTCAGAATATGGGCAGCTACCCTGTTGTATTAAGAACTCCTAGTGTGCACTATGAACCTCTCTGATGAATGAATGAATGAATGCTCATCTTGCTCCTTGATTTAAACTTACCCACTGAATTGCGGTAGTGTTGTCTGTATAATTACCAATGAAAGCTCTCTAGACAGTGCATGCTTTGGGAAGGCACTTTGAGGTGGGCTGTCACGTGCATACCAGGTTATAGGGCAACATTTAGTGGTTCTGCCCAGTGGATGCCAGTAGTGTTTCCAACCTCACCTCTACTAGACTGAGAGAGACAAAGTCTATCAGGACCACTACTCCCAATTAACTATGTAACATTCCTGGGAGCTGCAGGGCTGATGAAGTCTCTCTTTCATTAGTGAAGGAAGAGTATACTGAAAAGTGGGGTATAGGTGCAAATTCTGTACTTGCTACCATAAGAACCAGTTGGATCCTCTTCACACCCAAGCCTGGCTTTCCAGTGCTTACCCTATATAGAACTTCTATATATACAATGACAGAGTTACACAACAGAAGCAGGTACTTGTTGAAAGAGCTGTCAGCTGCTCCAATTGGTCGCTAGTGACAGTGTCCATTACTGACGCTCATCTTTTCCTTTCTGTGCAGGGCTATTTTCTTCTTTTTGAGTCAATGTTGGATTCTGTCCTTTATGCAAAGAGTAAATACTTGGCAAAAGGGGGATCGGGTAAGTACAACATTTCAGTTTTAATCTGATCTCAAGATGGTACAACCAAATGAGCCTTTGAACATCGAGCACACTGTGTATAGCTGAGTGAGTGGAGATAAAAGATGTTTTCACTGGAAGGAGCCTTGGTCACTTAAAATACGGGAGTCCAAGGTCATAGTTTCCTAGGACATCTTCTATTAAAAGTTTTTTTGTTTGTTTGTTAAATAAAAACATAAAGACTATGATGGGAGGTTTTTAATATTCAAATTAAAAGCATCTTTTCAGTTTTTAACCTTTTGTCATTACTCTGTTTTCCTTGCTTAATTTTAGCCAAAGGCCAATAGCATGTTTCATACTGAGTTAGAGACTATTTCCTTTAATGGCAAATTTTCCTTACCTCACTAACTGATGAGTCTCTCTACTCTGTGGTTTAGTTTAGTGTTAGAAAGGTTTGAAGTACCTCCCACCTGTAAGTTGACCATATGATCCCTATCAACTTGGAGCCTTTTTTTCCATGTCTGTGTTTTTTTCCATATCTTGTTCTGGTTTCATCCTGGTGGAAGGGTGCACTTCTGGGCCTTGTGCTTAGAAGTCTGTGAGACTGAGAGAAACAAAGTCTATGAGGACCACTACTCCCAATTAACTATGTAACATTCCTGGCAGCTGCAGGGCTGATGAAGTCTCTCTTTCATTAGGGAAGAAAGAGTATAAACAGGGCTTAAGAACAGGGCCTGTGTTTATTTTGAGGAAATTCATGGCTTCTTGAACACAGAGTGGAAAAACTGCTTGTGTGTGGAGTCCTAGTGCCTCCCTTCCACCTGCTTTTCCTGTTCCTGGCTTTCCCTGCCCTTCTCTGCTCCCAGAGCTCCACGAGTCAGCAGACCTGACAACTATTGACCCAGAGATGACTGCAGGGACCTGTCAGACTGGACAGAGCACTGGGCCTTGCTCCAGCCCTCTTCCCGTAGTATCCTGCAGCCATATAGGCAGTTACTGTATGGTTAAAGCCCTCAGGGCAAACCAGGAGAGTTAGGGCAAGTCCTGCAGACAGCAGAACACTCTAGCAGCACTCTGTGTTCCCTCTTTCTTGAGGTGCATTGTTATATATTCCCTGCATCCACTTTAAACTAGTTCTTGACCTCTGCTGTGAGCCTGGCTAGAATTTGAGAGGATGTACCCCGAAACAATTGCGCATCTGTGATTATTATAATCTTTTCATAACTGAAGGAAGTAATATCACTTGATGATTCTCCAGCAGCCATTCCCATCACCCTTGCTTATGTTGTACATAATCCTCACCACAGCCCTTTGAGATTTGGGGAACAATCTCAAAAAGGTGTCCAGGAAGATGATGCCATTAAGCAGCCAAGCAAGCATTTCTTTTTCTTTTCTGATTTTTAAGCTCATATCTGCCTGACCTAATCAATATTCATGTTCTTTTCACTAAACCTTGTTTCCCTTATTAAAATGCGTTTAAAACATCTGACTCTTGCTGTGGGGTTCTAGGGACGCCCCTCTCCACACCTCCCTAGTGGTGTCCATTGATGTCACTGAAGAACTGACAGCAGCTAATGCATTTAAATCGAGTGCTCAGTGAGACTCATTAGCCCCCACAGCCACGGGACCATGGCAGCTGGAGGGATGAACGGGAGGTTAATGATTCGAGCTCAGTCCATATTTTTATATAACTGATTAACATTCGGATCATCTGAGGGTGTAGTCAGAAGAACTGGCATTGAGCTACCTGAGCAGTGCTGTGGAATGCTATTTGTTAATATAATGAGGAGAACAAGAAATAAAGTATGAGCAACGTCAAATGAACCGTTATTGCCACCAGATGCTCATGTGTATTGTAAAGTTTTACTCTATGTTTTTCAGAAGGAATCTTTACCAAGCAATTGGTAATGTAAAAATTTTAGAAAGAATGATTGCATTATGGAAGAGGGCATGGGTATTGTAGGCCCACATGAACATAATGGGTCCACGATGTAAATCTGAGTTCATCTTTCTCCTCCTCTCTCCCATGAAGAAGAGTTAAGTCAATGTAAAGAAATACTAAGTTCTTGGATAAAGAGAATTAATGCCAAAAGCTGTCAGCTCACTACTGTGAAATATGGTGAAATTCCAAACCATTAATTATTAAAGGTGGATGAGAATTTATTTTCCCTTTTTTTATGTTAAAAATTTTACAGTAGAATTCTAAGTACTAATATCTATACTAACAGGTTTGTCTTCAGTTTTAGCCGATTATGAAATGGCAAGAAATTTTCAAAGTAGCAAGGCCCTGGGGAGGCAGAGACAGGTGGAAGAGCCCTTCCATGTAATAAGTGCATCCTGAAGTCTGGGTAATAAAACCAGATGTTACTGGTTCCTGTGTGGGAGACTAGTTGAAGAAAATAGAAAATCTGGTATAGCCGCAAATGTAACTAGAACATTTTACAATATAGGAAACTATTTTTAATAGCAAATTTAAAAATAATTACTTAAAAACATAACAAAGCCAAGTATGGTGACTTATACTTGCAACCCTAGCACTTGGCAGTTGGAAAGCAGGAAGATCAGGAGTTCAAGGCCAGTCTCAGCTACCCACTGAGTTTGAGCCCTGGCTCAACTCAAAATATAAGACCTTTCATTAAAGGGAGAAAGAAAGGGATAAAATGAAGTAAGGTTTAGCTAGGCTTAGTGGTACATTCTTGTAGTCCCAGCACTTAGAAGGCTGAGGCAAGAAGGATACTTAGGCCTTGAAGTTCAAGGCTAGCCTAGGCAACATACTAAAACTTTGGAGCAACCTTCCCCAAAGAGCTTACTCTGGACAAGAAATTGAACATTGTAGTTTAACCAGTGAATCAGATAGATTACAAACACGTTAGACTTGAGGGAAGAGTTCTCTAAGAACCTAAATTTGGAAGCCCTGAAAGAATGATTTGCACAGTTGAGAGCGTGTAACAGACTATACTCAAGCAAAGTCTATAAAGCAGGAAACCCACTCAGCTCCTACCATCAGCTTCATTTCTAACTTATCAGTGGATGAATGACAGCTCCCAGAAAAGGACATGGAAAGAGGACATGGACAGGTGCTGCCTCTGTCATGTTTCCCACATGCTTAAGTGGAGGACACAGGATCTTCCTACTACCTTCTGGAAGTGTCAGTGCTTTCACTGAGGTTTAAGACTCATTTCAGGATCATAGCACCTTTTTTGCACTCAGAGAAAAAGGCGAGGTGAGAGGGAGAGGACGGAGAGAATGAGAACACGAAGGTTAGATCTGGACCTGTCTTCCTCAAGTTCTCTCCACCTTACTTCTTGAGGCACTGCTCTCACTGAACATTTGGCCTCCACATTACTTTAAAAAGACTTGGAATTAAGACAGGATCTGATGAATAATAGAACAGATATAGACTGTAATGAGGCTCTCTGCATTGAGCCCCCTAGTCTGTGAGCCCCTGTGTTTACAGCTCTTCCTTGCAGGTACAAAGCTCTGTTGTTTTTCAGCTGCCTGCTAGTGGTAGAGAACATCCAATTCCTCCCTTCCCCTTCTTCCCCTTCCCCTTCTTCCCCTTCCCCTTCTTCCCCTTCCCCTTCTTCCCCTTCCCCTTCTTCCCCTTCCCCTCCTTCCCCTTCTTCCCCTTCCCCTTCTTCCCCTTCCCCTTCTTCCCCTTCCCCTTCTTCCCCTTCCCCTTCTTCCCCTTCCCCTCCTTCCCCTTCTTCCCCTTCCCCTTCTTCCCCTTCCCCTTCTTCCCCTTCCCCTTCTTCCC